AGCCCTATTGTGTCCCAAACCAAGTGATCCGTAAAAATTAGATCCCATGCCGTAAACCATATCATCGTTTGTCACAAATAATACATTAAATCCCTTCTCTTCATCGAAAACGTAAAATAATTGAATACAATTAATGTTTACTTTATTATCGATAGACTTATATTTGTGATCAATTGCTAGATTATTGCCACCAATGGACTCTATATCATTGTCTTTGTCAGTAATTTCTGATTTAGGCATTTGATTGAATCGCAAATAACTTGTGGGAAAGAGACCCACTTTGTCGCCACACCGGCCCCTCCACCAGCCCTCGTCGATCATCTTTATATCAGTGATCAACTCATTGGTATTAAAACTAATTTCATTCAAATCGGCCGCTTTGTAGTCATACAGAGCGGTAGCCGTCAGTCCTGTTTGCGAACCGCTATTTTTAGTTGGATTTACAGTTTTCCCGAAATCTGGTTTTTGTTTCTCTGCGTCGGACTCGGGATTAACCGCCGCTTCAGTCACCACTTGTTGTCTCTCTTTCTCGGCCGCAGTCGAGGCCTTCATCTCGTGTTTCTCGCGCTCCAGACGTCTGTCCCACTCGTCAACGGCTCTGCGTTTAACAAACATTTCCTCGTTTTTGGCCATACTTTCAAACCTTGGCTTCAATTTACTGGTATATCCTTCAGAAACTGTGGGTTTGTCTCCACCGGCGGCCGAACTACTCATTACTCGTGTCGACAATTGATCCGTTCTATCGCTTTCAGTATCACGTAATTTATGGCCTAAAGAAACACCAATTGAAACATCGCTTTGGTTTCTCTCTTCCCGTTTGTGTCTCTCCTGAGGTGTGTTTCCCTCCTCTCCGACACTCGCTTTCCCTTCCGTTCCCTCATTTCGGCCCATATTCTCAAACTTCGAATTTAAACTCTCATTATTTGTGACCACATTTGCCATACGTTTAGCCAAATCATTGCCAACCCTTTCGGAGCCGTGCATTTCGTATGACGAGTTTGCTAATGACTCGTTATAATCGGTCGTTTGGTTTCCAGACATTTCATTAAACGGTTTATCGGAAACGGGTTTTATTTGATGATTTGTAGACATATTGACACCATTTCCTATTCTCACGTTTTCATTATTAGTAATATTAATAATATTAACATTTGGTGTATTTTTAGAATCCTGGGTATAACAAAAAATTTAATTCTACAATTTCTTCATAAAAATATTAAGAAATAAAATGTATTGTATAATTTATAAATTAATATCAATTAATCTCTTACCATGTTGTCATATTTATGGTTGAACTTGTTAGTAAAGTTGTTAAATAATTTACAATTTAAAAATATAACAAAAAATTTGTTTTCAATATTGTTAAGTCTATCTAATGTATCGGTGAGCCGTTGTTTGTCTGAAATAACTAAACGTTTATCGATTAACCACTGGTTATAGTCGTTGATTACTTCACCAACAAATGGTCGTTTAGCAGCCTTTGGTTGACACATCTGGTCAATAATGTCTTCAAATTTTTTAAAATTTGTTGAAAATACGGTTGAATTATATTCATTCATTTGATCACCACTGATAAAAAATATTTAATTAAATATATTGTTTAAAAACATTTATTTAAAAAGTATAGCTTAAATAACTTACACCTCGAATAAATTGAGCAAATGGTTTGCAATCACACCCATGCTGTATATGTCAACCTTAATAGTATATCGGGACTGATTTAACTCAATTGCCATATATTGTGCTGTCCCTACATTAGAGGTGTGACTCATGGATGCCATTGTCATAGAGTGATAAGTGGCGGACCCGAAGTCACCTAATCTTATGAATCGATTTGTTGTTTTATCGCCTACTTTAGAAATTAATATATTTGAAGGTTTGAGGTCTCGATGAATGATTTGTGGCTCAGATTCGTGCAGATATTGAACGCATTCTAACAGTTCTTTGAATATTTCACACGACATGTAATATTCAAAAACATTCAATATTTCTTCCTTTTCTCGTCCGAAAACAATGTGTTTATTATCGATAATCGTCTGTAGATTTTGTGAGTAATAATTCATTTGAATGAACAGATGATTGTTTTCCAACCAAGAGCTGCGATAAACTACCACATAATCTGAGCACAATTCTTTTAATTTTTTTACCTCGTCTAATATTTGTCTTCTCTTGTGATTATCATAATTGTCTAAAAAATATAATGTTTACATACATGTATATCAATGTTGAAATCATGTCTAAAACTACCTTCAAATTTTACTATTTTAACCGCGTACACATCCTGGTCAATTATATGCTTAACTTTATATACTTCACCAAAAGTGCCCTTTCCTTTAAGTTTCAACTTTTTAAACGTTTTCATAAATATATTTCCATTTGACATGTTATTAGAAGCTGTGATATAAAATCAAATGATAATATTTAAAACATTAGATAAGTTTAAATAGATTAATAAATACAATATTTGTCACCATGGTGACATTTACTACCTTGTGAACTCTGTTCCAAGTGCTGATTAGAGTTAGACGCCATTTTAAAATAATAATAATATTTACGGAAATAATATTCAAATTTTTTATATTTAGAAATTTTTAAATGAATTCAATGATAATTATGAATCCGTTTATAAAAATTGACTATTATTAGATAATCACAAATTTATGTAAAAAGTATGTGGTACATTAAAATAGTATTATGACGATGTACACTAATTAAATATTATTTCAATTAATAAAAACCTATAATTATAATTAAATAATTATAATATGTAATTCATTAAACATTATAACTTATTAACACTACGGTATAATAGTACAGTATTAACAATGTTTTTAATAGTTTTAACATGGTGCAAAAATGAGAACTTCCACAAAACAACGCAACAATAATTGAGTCGTTAATAACAATTGAATTCAATTTGTATGATATTTCTAATAAAGAAATATTATGTGATATTATATATTAATCTTCCCTCTTTATTAAACTTGACATTGTTTTAATAAAAGTATTATATATTATTATTGATAAAACAATAAAATTGATTACACAACTTTTGCAATTATAATATATCACTTAATTTTTAGATAATTTACAATTTTATAATAATACACTCTAAAATTAATTTATAAAAAAAATCAATTGTATTCATAAATTTATTATTAATTTTATAACACAATTAACAAGATTAATTTACAGTTTGTTAGTTTTAGAGTTGTTTGAAAAGCATTTGATTAATTAACATTATAATACTGTACAATATATTAACAGTTTTGCGTTAATAATACATTAAGTTAAATGTGTGATAAGTTATGATAATTGTAATAATTCGTGACAACCGTCAGAAACACAGATTAAATGCCAATATATTTAATAAAATTCATATATTGAGTAAATAGATAAGTCTTAGTCTTTTGGTAGACTTTCTACTTTACTGAAAGTAGAAATGTAACATTAATTTTACTAATTAGGGTAACTCTACTAGACACCAGAAAACAAGTTTGGTAACACATTACGACCCAGCTCCACCTCCAACAAATTGAGATGTAAATAGTTATAAAGTTATGCCTAAATTCCATATAACTTCGCCTATTGACTAACCATAGTCACATAATTTTAAACAATAAATATTAATAATTTCTGTCGTCTAATCCATTGCTTATTTTTAAATAGCTTTTAATTTAATTTTGTGTAATTTTTGTGACGATTAAATTCTAATAAAACAAATCAATTCAAATAAATAAATTCATCGTAAATAATGTTTTATTATTTTATTCATTGTATGTTTTGTTTATATAAAAATTTACATAAAATTTATTAATTTCAGATTTTATAATCTCACAAAACATGTTACAATTTATTTATAATTTATTTCAACAGAAATTTTATTTATAAAATGTTCGCATTTTTCTTTAAATTGTTCAAATGTTTTGTAATTATAGTCTTTATAATTGCATAAATGTATTGTTTTATATGTTTTTTGAATTTTATTTAAATAGTAATCAAAAGCATTCGTGTAATTAGTTTCACACAATTTAAGCGAATCATTCATTTTGTATATTTTATTATCACTCGATTTATAAATTACCCGAGAAAAATCCTTTTGCCATGATATGAGAACATATAAATTGTGCATGATCACATTTTCATTAGCAAATAATTTTGTCACTGATTTCTGTATTGAATAACGATGCTTTCCAAAAACGTGGAAATTTGTTCAAGATAACATTTTTATAAGAAATAATCATTTGAATCAAAAGAAATTTTATAGGATGAATGAGTATTTATCTATGTTCAATTCAATATAATTATATAATTTTTATCTCTATTGGTTGAGAAGTGGTGGACATCTTAAGACAGTGATGTCTAAATTTGCTTTGGCACTTTAGTAAATCAATGTAAAGTTCAATGGAGTTTTACATTGAAATATATATTTTTGCGTAAATATTTTTATCATTAAATTTATTTTTAAAAATTTATAGTTTAGGTGTATTTATGTGAATAAATATTATTATTATTTCAAACTAAAGCTAAATAAAGATTTTATTTACTATTAATTTCCCAATTCGGCATCATCTTTGTGTATATTTTGTAAATTAATGGTTATATATATCTAAAACATGTGCCAAAGCAAATTTAGACATCACTGTCTTAAGATGTCCACCACTTCTCAACCAATAGACATAAAAATTATATAATTATATTAAATTGAACATAGATAAATACTCATTCATCCTATATAATTTCTTTTGATTCAAATGATTATTTCTTATAAAAAGTTATCTTGAACAAATTTCCACGTTTTTGGTAAGCATCGATACTCTTTATTATCGTTGATATAGACATAGCGGGTGGTCTGGGTGGTAGGGCTGGTCCGACTATGAGATTCAGTCCAGATATATTCACCACAAAAATACACAAATCCGTCGTTCGTTAGGAAATAAGTTTGCGTTCCATTCGAACAAACCGTTTGAATGTTAAACAAATTGTCAATCATTTGTGGTTTGAATACATTATCCGATATATTGTGTCCCAAATGGCACTCATTTTGACCCCAACTGAAGACTCGGCCATCAGTTGTGACGGCAAACGATGAGTTCCCACAACAATAAACGCCACGTATTTTATATTCAATCCCATTGTCTATGAATTGTATTTTCGTTGGAGTTATTATTACTCTCGAGTGCTGTTCCCCACAACCCAACTGTTTATCATTATTATTACCCCATCCGTAGACACAGTCATCACCGGTGACCACAACTGAGTGATGAAAACCACAACTAATATCACGGATAACAGGATTATTGGGCAATGAAATGATGACTGGTTTTAAGTAATCATCAGTCGGTGATCGAGCCAACTGTGCCCAGTTATTACTACCCCACCCGTGTATACAGTTGTTGTCATTAATGGATAAAACAAAATTATAACCACAAATAAATTGTCGTATATTTTTATGACATAATTCGTGTATAACATGTGGTGTATTGACAGCCTTATTGTGTCCCAAACCAAGTAAACCCCTTCGATTAGATCCCATGCCGTAAACCATATCATTATTTGTTACAAACAATACATTAAACCCTTTCCAGTCATCGAAAACGTGAAATAATTTCATACAATTAATGTCTACTTTATTATCGATAGACTTATATTTGGGATCAATTGCTAGACTATTGCCACCAATCGATGCGATCTCTATACTATCGGCGGCCAAACTACTCATCACTCGTGTCGATAATTGATCCGTTCTATCGCTTTGAATATCACGTGATTTCTGACCTAAAGTAACACCAATTGAAACCTCGCTTTGGTTTCTCTCTTCCCGTTTGTGTCTTTCCTGAGGTGTGTTTCCCTCCTCTCCGACACTCACTTTCCCTTCCGTTCCCTCATTTTGGGTCATATTCTCGACATTCGTATTAAAAACACTACTTCTTTTAGTGATCACAGGTTTGTTCACAACATTAGTCTTATTCATGAAATTTAAACCATTACCTGATTTGTTATTTAAATTATTATCTGTGCAAATGTCGGTATTATGTAATTTATAATTAAAAAACTCATTAAAAAACGTGTTTTCATATGATTTTAGTGATTTTAGTATTTCTAAGAGTAGTTTATCATTTGCTGTAATCATATGTCTATTGACTGACCATTCATTATAATCGTCGAGTACCCGACCACTGGTCGGCCGATTGAATACAACTGAATGAGACATTTGACCAATGATTTCAAATAATTTGTTAAAATTGACTGAAAATACGGTTGAATTATACATTTCCATTGGATTATCATTAGTTGATCTATTTAAAAATAATCAATAATTATATTTAAAATATATCAATATAAATAACATACATATTGAATAAATCAAACAAATGAAATGCAATCACTCCCAGGCTATAGATGTCAACCTTAATGCTATATCAGGATTGAAATATTTCGGGTGCCATATATTGTGCGGTTCCGACATTAGAGGTGTGACTCATAGATGTCAATGTCATAGAGTGAAAAGTGGCGGAACCGAAATCACACAACCTTATAAACCGAGTGCAATTTTGTGCAATCAACACATTTGATGGTTTGAGGTCCCGATGGATAACCGGTGGACACAAATCGTGTAAATATTTAACACTTTCTAAGAGTTCTCTAATTATTTCACACGAAATAAAATATTCAAATATTTTCATCGGTTCACCCGTTTGTCTCCCAAACACAATGTGCTTATTATCGATAATCGTCTGTAGATTTTGTGGATAATAATCCATTTGAATGAACAGATGATTGTCTTCACGCCATGAGTTGCGGTAATTGACCACAAAATCTGAGCGCAATTTAACTAAATTTTGCACTTCTTTTAATATTTCCTGTCTTTTGTGATCGCCATAAATGTCTGCAAAAGATACTTCTTATTAATAATTATTAAATACAACTTATTTAACTCTAAATAATATTGATTGTAAAATTACCAAGGAACTTGACAATTTTCACCGCGTACTCCTCCCCTTCAATCATATGCTTCACGTGATATACCTCTCCGAACCCATATGTGTGACAACTTTTGGAAATTATCGTCAAAAAAATTTGATTTCGGGTTTGAAACTAAAAAAGTTTTTAAAAACAAAATAAATGTTAACATATAAGTGAAAATGCATTGTTATTTATTACCTGTTGATTGGTTGGCAGCCATTTTTCTGATTACACTATTATCACTTTTAATTTAAGATGTGGTAATAATTATAGACTTTTAAAACCTTGTTAACTTTAAACATAAAATTTTATCATCATACATTTGGTTTAATAAATTCACACATTTCTCATGAAACTTTTCATATGTTTTGTTATTATATTCGTTATATCTTATATCTCTTAAATGTATTGTTTTATAAGTCATTTTAAATTCACTTAAATAATAATCAAAAACTCTCGTATAATCCGTATTACATAATTCAAGTGAATCAGTAATTCTATATATTTTATTATCACTTGAGGTACAAATGAGATATAATATCTTATTTTGCCATGATGTTACAACATTTAAATTGAGCATAGTAACAATATTATTATCAAATAATTTGATCACTGATTCATGAATTGATTTTAGGTTATTATTATTAATAGATTTACCACAAAAATACACATTACCATCGTTTGTTAGAAAATATGTTTTACGGAAAATCGCACACACTGTTTGAATATTAAATATATTCTCGATCATTTGTGGTGTCCATATAGTACCTGCTATATTATTATACCGACCCCATGTAAATACTCGGCCATCAGTGGTGACGGCAAACGAGGAATTCCTCCAACAATAAACGCCACGTATTTTAATATTACCCCATTTTTCTGTGAATTTTACTTTCGTTGAATTTGTTATATAAGTTATTATATTGGTTCGGTCCAATTTCCCACAACTCAATTGTCCGTATCTATTATAACCCCATCCGTAGACACAGTCATCACCGGTGACCACAAGTGAGTGATAATAACCACAACTAATATCACGGATAACAGGATTATTAGGAAATGATATATTGGGTCATTTGGTAATGATCAGGCCTAACTGCCATCTAGTGTAGATAAAATTATGAAAATGGTATCATAATTTAAGTTAACATTCTTAGGCACCAGAAACCAAGTTTTGTTAAGATTGGTTGATTAGGCTTTATACTGGGAATTTTTAAAATGTGTCAGTCGGATATATTTTTACAAATTTGTACAAAATATTTGGTGAAAAATTATTAGATTTTTAAAGTTAGAATATTTTTACAAAATACATGTTTAAAGTGATTATTTGGTTATTGAGATTCACAATTAGTTATTCGACAATAGTTTTAAGAAGATTTCATGACATCAACTATAATGGAAATCAAATGCGAACCGACCGAACACAGGGCGCCAATCGGGTTGACAACCGATAAATATTTGGTCACAGTTGGGGTATCGGTCAATGTTGGCCATTGAATAGCATATCATTAGATTCATGAAATATGGGAGATTTCAGAAGAGTAAGGGTTTTGTATTATCTCTATTATTATTTAAGCATGATCAATTTTAGTCTAAAATCACAGTCAAAAAATACTGAAATAGCCACTCTCCCATAGGAATACATTATTTTGGCAGGTGTCATATAAAATATTCCTGTGCCATAACTATTGATGCGAACTTTATGAAACTTGGTTTCTGTTGCCTAGAGATGTTAACTTATATTATGATACCATTTTCATAATTCTATATACACTAGAAGACAGTTAGGCCTGAACAATATCAAATGACCTAATAATATCTGGTTTTAAGTAGCCATCTGTTGGTGATCGGGCTAACTGTGCATTATCATTACGGCCCCAACCGTGTATACAATTTGTATCATTAATGGATAGAACAAAATTATTGCCACATATATATTGTTGTATATTTTTATGACATAATTCTTGTATAATATGCGGTGTATTGACAGCCCTATTGTGTCCCAAACCAAGTGATCCGTAAAAATTAGATCCCATGCCGTAAACGATACCATCAATTGTCACAAACAATACATTATATCCCTACTCGTCATCATACACGTGAAATAAGTTAATACAATTTATGTCGACGTTATAATTGATAGCTTCATAGTTGACCACTATATCATTGTCTAAGTTTGTCATCTCAATCCTCTGCATCTGTTATCTCACTTCCTGTTTGTGTCTGACTTGAGGTGTGTTTCCCTCCTCTCCGACACTCCTATTCCCTTTCGTTCCCCCATTTTGGGCCATATTCTCAGACATAGCACTTAATTGAGTGATACTTCCTTTAATAGCCACCGGTTTGACCGCACCTCTGACCGTATTATTGTCTACTTCTTCTGTCCCATGCGATACATAATTTTGATTAACCGCTAAACTATTGTCACCAATTGTTGCGTTCGCAACATCACTGTCACTATCCAAGGGTATGTTTACCAACTCATTGTCACTTACTTTGTCATCCGTATCCATATCTTGATCGACATTTTGAGGCATATTACTTAGTCGACTGACACATTCATCAGTGGCCACCAGTTTTACCGATACATTTGGGTCCACTTTACACAAGCGGTGTTTTGTTGCCGTACGTATGAATACCATTCTATCAGATTCACCATAATCACTTGTTGATGGTCCAACCATTTTAAATGTATCATTATTTATATGTTTAGTGACCTGTTTAATTAATTGATTATTTCATAGGATCGCGGTGTAACCCATATTTCAATGACTAATAGAGATGTCGCTGCGATAGTGCAGTATTAACGTGTAATATGACGCATATAAGTATATGCATACAAATACTGTTAAAAACTTACAAATACTGTTAAAAACTTACAAATACTGTTATAGTAATTTTAAATGATTGAAAGTTTCAAAACAACGTGTTATTTAATCATCAATTTGAGTGTTGATAAAAAGTGGTTTAGTTTAACAATCATTAGTGGATTAACAATAGTTTTTAATCACAATTTGGTGGTAATAATGAGTGCTGTGAAAAAACCTCGGAGATATTAAATTTAATGATAATTGGTTAGAAAACAATGACTTTAGTGATTGGTTAGTAAAAAAAGATGATTTCACAGCTAATTGTGGTGTTTGTGGTACTAATTTCACAATTAGATACGAAGGCATCGGTGCTATCAATACCCACAACACTGGGCCTAAGCATCAAAGTATGGTTAAGTCGGCAAAAATGTGTCAATCAATGTGAACAAATCCAGTGAACAAGACAGTGATGACGTAATAATCAGCGAGTTGTCCATAGTTTGCCATAATATATGTCATCATCTGAGCTATAATTCAATGGATTGTGGTATAAAACTAATGAGAAGTTTATTTAAAGACTCTAAAATAATATTTTATGTCAAAATATGCAGTGCGGCTGCACAAAGGCTGAGTATTTGGCTATCAATATTTTAAATCCATTAAGTATTGAAAATGTTGTTTTAAATTTTTATGGCCTCAATGAGTGCTCGGATAATATCTATAATAAACTTTCAGCAAATTTAATTGAAAACAATATTATTATTAATAAATTAATCGCATCTTCTGGAGACAACGCAAGTGTTAACTATGGTGTACACCACTCCGTATATAATAACTTGACAAAAAAGACAATCAAAATATAGTTAAGGCAAACTGTAATTGCCATGTATTACACAACACTGCGAAATATGCCTTAACCCAAATACAATCAACTTTTGATGTTAAAAATCTCATTTAAAAAATATATTCACATTTTTGTGTATCAGCTAAACGTGTGAATGAATTGAAATCTTGCTATGAATTTGCAGAAAAAAGTTATGAAAATATGTTAAGACATGTAACAACTCGTTGGTTAAGTTTTTTGCCGGCGATTAATCGTATTATTGATAATATTTTGCCATTAAAAACATATTTTATTGGTTTGGGTACCAATGACTGTCCACCAGTAATATCACAATTTGTTTGAAGTGAATCGCATAATAAGATAGTAATTTGTGAAATTTATTTATATTTTTGTTCTCATTTTATAAAACTTTTTCATGAAAATATATATTTATTAGAGAAAACATCAACAAATGCCATCAATTTATAAGATATAATGTTTAAAATTTATGCACAACTTCGTGCAAAATCGTTTAAATCTTATGTTTTTTGGAGCAAAAGTTGAAGAAAATCTTAAACATTTTAATAATAACAAAATTTCAATATTCGTTGAAAGAGTTTTTTGTGGTTTACGTAAAGTGTGGACTAATGATAGGAATCGTATGAATATAAACTTAATTAAAGCTGAAATTTGTATAAAAAATAATATTTCTATTCCTTGTATTGATTTTAAACAAGTTTTATAAAATAATGTTAATTATAAATCTATTATAAAAGCATCAAAATCTTCACAAAATTATGATTTTTTAAAAAATGTATAAATTTTAAGTGTTTTAATAAAAATAATTCGAGTACAGGAAAATACAGGAATTTTTTAAAATTTATACAGGATATTCAAAATATTTTTTGGCAAGGCTAATGTAAAAGGAATTGTATAGATTACTGTGAATTATTTGATTAAAACTTATGTGTATAAAATGTAAGCAATTTTCTTTAAATTGTTCAAATGTTTTGTAATTATAGTCTTTATAATCGCATAAATGTATTGTTTTATAAGTCATTTGCATTTTACTAAAATAGTATTCAAAAGCATTCGTGTAATCAGTTTTACACAATTTAAGCGATGAATTAATTTCATATATTTTATTATCACTCGATTTACAGATTACATCAAATAACAACTTTTTCTTTGATATGAGAACATATAAATTGTGCATGCTCACTCTTTTATTCTTAAATAATTTTACCACTGATTTCTGTATTGACATGACTTTATAATCTTTGAAATATTCCCCACAAAAATACACAAATCCGTTTTTCGTTAGGAAATAAGTTTGCGTTTCATTCGAACAAACCGTTTGAATGTTAAACAAATTATCAATAATTTGTGGTTTGAATACATTATCCGATATATTGTGTCCCAAATGACACTTATTTATACCCCAACTGAAGACTCGACCATCAGTTGTGACGGCAAACGAGGAATTGAGAGAACAATAAACACCACGTATTTTATATTCAATTCCTTTGTTAATAAATTGTATTTTTATTGGAGTTATTATTTTATTTGATTGCTGTTCCCCACAACCCAACTGTCCATAACTATTATTACCCCATCCGTAGACACAGTCATCACCGGTGACCACAAGTGAGTGATTATAACCACAACTAATATCACGGATAACAGGATTATTAGGCAATGATATGACGACTGGTTTTAAAAGATCATCAGTCGGTGATCGGGCTAACTGTGCGAAATCATTACTACCCCAACCGTTTATACAATTGTTGTCATTAATAGATAAAACAAAATTATTGCCACAAATAAATTGTTGTATATTTTTGTGACATAATTCTGGTATAATATGTGGTGTATTGACCGCCGAATTGTGTCCTAAACCAAGTCTTCCCCATTGATTAGATCCCATGCCGTAAACCATACCATCGTTTTTGGCAAACAATACATTAAACCCTTTGTTGTCATCGAAACCGTGAAATAATTGAATACAATTAATGTCTACTTCATTATCGATAGACTTATATTTGGGATCAATTGCTAGACTATTGCCAACAATCGATGCGATCGCTATATCATTGTCTTTGTCAGTGATTTCTGATTCAGTCATTTGATTGAATTGCACATAATTGACCGGAAAGAGACCCATTCTGTTGCCACACCGGCCCCGACAGCAGCCCTCGTCGATCATCTCTATATCAGTGACCAACTCATTGGTATGGAAACTAATGTCATCCAAATCGGCCGCTTTGTAGTCATACAGAGCCGTAGCCGTCAGTCCTGTCAGCGAATCGCTATTATTACTCGGTTTCGCGGTTTTCACGAAATTCAAGTTTTGTTTCTCTGCGTCGGACTCGGGATTAACCGCCGCTTTAGTCACCACTTGTTGTATCTCTTTCTCGGCTTTCTTCTTGTGTTTCTCGCGCTCCAGACGTCTGTCCCTCTCCTCATCGGCTCTGCGTTTAGAAACCATTTTTTCGTTTTGGGCCATACTTTCAAATTTTGTCCTCAATTTACTGGCATTTCCTTTAGAAACAGACGGTTTGTCTCCACCGGCGGCCGAACTACTCATCACTCGTGTCGACAATTGATCCGTTCTATCGCTTTGAATATCACGTGATTTATGACCTAAAGTAACACCAATTGAAACATGGCTTTGGTTTCTCTCTTCCCGTTTGTGTCTCTCCTGAGGTGTGTTTCCTTCCTCTCCGACACTCACTTTCCCTTCCATTCCCTCATTTCGGGACACATTCTCGACTCTTGTATTGAAAACACTACTTCTTTTATTAACCACAGGTTTGTTCACAATATTAGTCGTTTTATTAGCATTTAAACGATCACTTGATTTGTTATTTAAATTATTATCACTAGAAATGTCGGTATTATTTATTTTATAATTGAAAAACTCATTAAAAAATGTGTTTTCATAGGATTTTAGCGATTTTTGTATTTCTAAAAGTAATTTATCATTTGCTGTAATCATATGTCTATTGACTGACCACTCGTTGTAGTCGTCGAGTACTCGACCACTGGTCGGCCGGTTGTCTGCCATTGATTGAAACATTTGTCCAATTATTGCAAACAATTTATTGAAATTTACTGAAAATGCGGTCGATTTGTATTTTTCTATTGGATTTTCACTAATAAATAATTTAAAAATATATAATTAAAAATTATAATAAAGTAATTCTCATTGACTTACATATTGAATAAATCAAACAAATGAAACGCAATCACTGCCAGACTATAGATGTCTACTTTGATTGTATATCGGGGTTGAAATATTTCTGGTGCCATATATTGTGCGGTTCCGACATTAGAGGTGTGGCTCATGGATGTCATGTCATGACTGGTGGCCAATCCTAAGTCACACAACCGTATAAACCGAGAGTTATTACTATTTTGTGAAATCAACACATTTGACGGTTTGAGGTCTCGATGGATAACCGGTGGACACAAATCGTGTAAATATTTCACACTCTCTAAGAGTTCTCTAATTATTTCACACGAAATAAAATACTCAAATATTTTCATCAGTTCTCCCGTTTGTCTCCCAAACACAATGTGCTTATTATCGATAATTGTCTGTAGATTTTGTGGATAATAATCCATTTGAATGTACAGATGATTGTCTTCACGCCATGAGTTGCGGTAATTCACCACAAAATCTGAGCGCAATTTAACTAAATTTTGCACTTCTTTTAATATTTCCTGTCTTTTGTGATCCCCATAAATGTCTGCAAAACAAACTTCGTATTAAAACTTATTAAATACAAATGATTTAACTCTAAATATTATTCATTTTAAAATTACCAAGGAACTTGACTACTTTTACCGCGTACTCTTCCCCTTCAATCATATGCCTCACGTGATATACCTCTCCGAACCCACCCCTCCCTATATGTGCCAACTTTTGAAAATTATCGTCAAAAAAGTTTGATTTCGGGTTCGAAACTAAAAAAGTGTTTAAAATAATATTAATGTTAAAATATAAGTTCAAACATATTGTCATTTATTAGAAATAAATTATTACCTGTTGATTGATTGGCAGCCATTTTGCTGATAATATTGTTATCAATTGTAATTTAAGGTGTGGTAATTATTATAAACTATTAAAACCTTGTAAACTTTAACTGTAAAATATTATTATTATACATTTGATCTAATATTATTTATTACAAAATATATTAAAATATTTAATTAATTATACTTTAAATTGTGTGAATAATTTGAGATATTTACTAAATAATTATTACCATTCATTTATTGCTTGTTGATTGATTGCCAGCCATTTTGTTGATAATATTGTTATCAGTATATTTAATTTTAATATAAAGTGTGGTAATAATTACAGATGTTTAGAACCTTTTTTTAAATATGAAATATTATCATTATACAATTTATTATAATATATTACAACATTTTAAATTAATTATACTTTTAATTGTGTAAATAAAGAGATCTTTCACTAAACACTTATTAAATAAATATAAAAATAATTAGTCGTTAATAACACTTGAATTCAATTCTTATGATATTTTTAATGAAGAAATATTTTATAAAAGATATGCATATTTGTATCGTTAATAGGGGTAAATGTGGTTAAGACTTGTAATAATCAGTTAAAGCAATGGAAACAGATTTAACTAAAAATAAAGTGATAATAACTATAGTTTTATTGTCTCATAAATTACTTACAACTGAAACAAACACTCATTAAATGTGTGGCAAAATTTAATAATAAATGTATATTAAAATATAATTTTTCAACATTAAGTTAATTATAGCTGAGTTTGTTTATAAATAATCCATAAACAACTAGTTTGATAAACACAGCAATCAATAAACACAAGTTATTTTTTGGCCAAAATCTCTGTATTTATTTAATATTTGTAACTTATATATAGCGATAAATAATGACATTTATGTTTTTGTTATAAGACAAAAGTGTTAAAATTAACAGTTATTTTGTTATTGTTTTTTATGTTATTTTGATCGTTAAATACATTGTTATGTTATTTTGACAAATATAATAATATACTAGTAATAAATAACTGTAATAATCATCATAATCATTTTAATAACTACACTAAACTGACAATCAAATAAAACTTACATCATTGTATTTTATATTTCATATTTATAAAACAAATAATTTAACACAACGTGGTATAGAAAATAGCAATTTTGTAAATTATATTCATGAATATTTTGTAATATTAAATATTTATATAGTGTTTACTGCATATAATGAACAATAATATACATAATACAAGCGATTCGTACAAATGAAACTCTATTTTATGTTATATTTTATATATAATTATTATAATAATCAATATAAATGTTACAAATGTGCCCACGTGACATCAGCCTAGTTATTTTATCAATCTATTATAATAATATGTACAAATGTAATGTATAAACTGTAAAATAACCTAATTATAAATCATAAACAGAGCATTAATAATTAAAATAACAAACATAATAAATAATGTAGAATATTAATTAAATTAAACTAAAATACAGTAATATTACATTTTAAAACTAATTTATTCGGCATAAATAAACGCAACCAAAACAAACAAGCTAGTATTAATAATCGATGAGCTAGACCATTTGGATCAGTGCTGGCGATATTGATGATGACAGGGGCGTAGGGGTGGGCACAGGCTTTACGGGGGCAGTATGTCAGTGACGGTCCTCCGGCGAACTGCAATCATAATTAAAATAATTAATTTAATATAAAATGTAATTTATTATCATTAAATAAGTTAATATAGACTGGCTCAATCATTAAATGTAATAGTACAGTTATTCAATAGCATACATGCATTATTACCATCTATTATTTGTAACGCGGTTAACTTTAGTATATTAATTATTTAGGGTCTCAAATAATTTGCTATTTAAGTCATATACAATGATTATAGCTCAATTAAATCATTGATAAATAATGTCAATTAAATACCCTAATTTAGAAATAATTATTTCGCAGAATTATCATGCTGATAAATAAAAGTAAGCATTGATAAGTCATCGCTTATTGTCAATGTTTAAGCACATTCAACTTAAATAGCATCTAGAAATAGATATATAACAGGGCACATCAAAATAGCTAGAAAAAGGACAATAATAAATGTCTCATATATAGAGCAACCAAAAGATGAGTCATTGCAGACTAATGTAATATGCAGACTAACCAAAAACCATGAATTAGTCAAAAAATGATAACATATAATATTTAACTAATGCTTTAAAATGAAATAGTTGTAATAGTCATTATTGTGTTCAAAACTATGAAAATCGATTTCAAATCGATTTCAAACGGTTGCCCTACTCATATACTAGATAATAGCTGAATGGCAACAAAATAAAACAATTAGATCATGATATAATATCATTGATATTTGTCTTATACGGCATGTATTATATGTCTGATATGTTTAATGTATTGCAAAAACACAATATACAGTACAATACTCTCTCTCTCTCTCTCTCTCTCTCTCTCATAAACAGAGCATTAATAATTAAAATAACAAACATAATAAATAATGTAGAATATTAATTAAATTAAACTAAAATACAGTAATATTACATTTT